GTCACAGATGAGTTTCCTGACAACCTCATTTTCCCCGTTTTCCATTGTTGTCCCTGCCCATCCGTTTATTGTCTACTGAAAGGAATTCTCACGTAATAGTTATTGCTATATGCACAGTCTATCTAGTTTTGTCTGGAATGTAAGTTCTGTTTAACCTCTGCAGATGCGGAAATACAAAAACGAAAGTAGTGCTGAGGGTTCAAGTGACACGTGGAAGCCGGAACACCGCGCGAGCGCCAGATCAGTTCAAACATCCATTAGAGAAGTTGATCCAACAACTGAGCAGTGATTGCCCACTCATTTGTGTTTCGTTAACCGGAGACAGGCAAATACCAGTTGCTTATTAGCTAGAACTAAATTTCACTGCTTTTCGACGCATTGTCTGATGGCATTTTGCAAAATACTTCCCCCATCAATTTCAATAAATTATCCCGGATGTCTTTTTAAGTTAACGTAGCAAACAATATCTGGTCTGTTCAGTGCCTTGGGTGATCCAGATGTGACAGGTACGCTTTACCAAGACTACCGGGTCTTTAGACAGGAGCATTCGGTGACTTCGATAACGGGTGGAAAATCTATCAAGATATTTGGATGACCTCGAAAGCCGGTCATCAAGACTACGAACAAAGAAAGAAGAAAAGGCTAAGGCCAGTGGCAGAGACTACAATCACAACGGAAGTACGTGGCGTTATCAAGTCAAGAGTGCATATCATTCATCCAAGAGTTGATTGGTTCTATACGAATCGATCTAATCGTTCGCAACTGTTTCCTCTCAATGGGATGAAATGCATTGGTTTAACGGTTGATTCACCACCGGAATACGTACCCGGTCCAGCTGAATGCAAGCATCATTATCATCATCATCCCCACCCGCACCCGCCACCCTTAATGACTCCAATCAATGCGCATGTGTGATGATCAAATTGTGAGCAACATCCAGGCATTGAGCTGGAATGCTGATTATTTCTCTTCTCATTTTGTCATGTTTTCCACCCCCCCCACCACCCCCAAATAAACTTTTTGACATAAACTGTGATGTATTAGTTTGTAGATTAACTACCGAAAACGAGCATGTTCGCTACCGTGTGTTCTTCTTACAATGCGTAATGATGGTTTATTCGGACAAGATGGTTGCAATCAAACTATCTCCTATGATCAAATACCAGTGAATTGAGAGAGACACCAAACATATGGCATGCCCATAGGCTGTGTGGATGTGACACCTCCCAGTTGATATGACCGAAAAGAGGATAACTTTGTGTGCCTCATTTGAAGCCGATGAGAAATCCTGAAATCCACGGTAACATGATGAGGCTTAGATTATGTCAAACCTAAATGAATCAAAAGACTTTTGGACAGAATCAAACATCCAAGGTGTTCTGTACACTTCAATGGCCTATCAAGCCGATACCAAATGCCACAAGCGGGAAGGTGTGTGCGTGGTTCGTAAACCTCTTCTTGGTTGATTCGGAATCAAGGTATTTGGTAACTCGGCGAGATGAAATGCAAGTGGTTCACTGACTCGGTCATAACCCTAAAATGTTGGCTTTTAGTATGCCTTCAAGTGAAGACAGTGATTGGGGATTCCCAGCGAGGGTTATCTGTGACATTCTGTTGTATAAGAACAGTTCGTGAGATATGACAAAAGAGTGAGTATTGAAGACCCAAGCTATCAACCGTGACCATAGTGAAGCTCGGTACGAAATCAATAAATAATTTAATCCCTTATCAGTAGTTAATTACAGACAGCTTCCACCCTTATTTGATCAATAAAGCGTTGAATGTCTCTGGCGAACCTTTTCGGTGCGAATTGATTCACTGTTTCTCAACAACTGACTTCCTTCCTCGATCGACGCTTTGACGAAACCTTGAATCTGTGGAACGCCTCAAATAACTACGAACCTGGTTGAAAGGGTGTACACCACTGGTCTTAAATTGACTCCATCAAAATACTCAATCAACAGCTTTGAAGTGTTTCGAGGAGCTGTGCTCTCCCCATACTTCTTTTCCACACATATTTGCGATATTCCTTGTGTGGTTTCCTATTTTGAAGCATGTTACTGGCGTCGTGTTTTCTGATACCACGTTTACTTATCGTTCTCCGGCCATAAATCTTCTCGAATTCAATTTTGTTCCGCCAATCGGGTCTGAAGTTCACCCTGAGTAACGTTATCATCAAAGCCTTGTGTTTTGGGTTTTTCGTTCGTCGTGGCTAAGATAGGCTAATTTCCTCAACGCTAAAATGATGTTTCACGCTTTTCCAAATTTAAAATCTCATATAATTCCCCTATCTTACTTTACTGATCTACATTTATTTCCCTTGGTTTAAATAAAACTCCATAATCCTACACCGCAGTTTCGTGGCAACTAGTCACATTTCCTCTACCGTGAAACTTTTGGATCACCTCACGTGTTGTCTCAATTTTGCGGAAACGATTCTCGTACACCCTACTCAAGCTTTGCATCTTCAATGATTGTACTATCGTTCCCCTGTCTTAGCACGCTTCGCATTCCGACACACACGATCTTGTTTACCAATCGATTTAAGGTTATACGAAAGCTACGTTGAATTTTCGCGTACAGGTTTTCGTAGCTATATTTTGGTTGGCCATTTAAGTGAAGCAGTGGAAAAAGGAGGTTGTTCTATCCGTGTTCAAATACGTATATCAGAACGCAGTGAATTGGGCGAATTGAATTGAGTGAATTGGGCGGTGGTTGCCAAGTGGTTAGGTCATCAACTAGTGACCTGAGTGTCCCGGGTTTAAACCGCTCCATCGCTGCCCGTCTTCCCTATATCTGTATTTTCCCCAGACAGCCTTTGTATGGCCGCAGCCCCTTTCCTGAAAGTTGACTGTACATTTGTATATTCAATAAATAGAAAAACAAAGTGAAAAAACATTTTTTACGTTACTTGTAAAGCGCACACATGTAGCCGGTTTGTAGGTCAGTGAGCAGGCAGAAGCGGGCGGCACGTAGACAGGCAGGTAGGTAGACAAGTGATCCAAGCTTTAACAATTTCATATATCCAGTTCCCTTTGGGAAGTGACTCAAGCGTCACGCAACATCCATGTGCAGTTAAGTAGGCATTCAAACAGTCAAATAATCAACTAGAGTGGGAACAGTCTAATACTCATATCCGACTGGCCAGAGCCAATCGATATTGTAAAGGAGTCAGCCCGAATGTCGCGTGTGTGTGATAGCTGACAGCATCAGCCAATCAATCAATCTGGCCACAGGCAAGCGCGTCGAATGTATTAGTCAATTTTAGGCCTCGGCAGTCCCTCTTCCTGCAACTTTTACCCGACCATCCTATACACAGGTATCTAGTCATCCCTATCAGGTTTCCGTTCCCAGATGTCGTACCTCTCTACTCCAATCTTCTTTCCCCCGAACTGCCAAACTGTGGAACACCCTCCACCTTGTTATTTTTCTCCGAACTTAATTTTACACTTTTTAAACGCAGAATCAATAAACTGGATCTTATGTGAATGTTCCCTTACTCCTCCCGTTACAGTATCCTATTTTCCCATGGAGATTTCCCCGTTTACTGTAATTCACATTGTGTAATAAAAAAAGCAGACGTGGAAAACTAGGAGCAGTACCAACCTGAAGATAGATTGAAAATGTGAAGACAGTGAGTAGATACCAAAGCGCCAATTAGCATCTCTGATCATAGATTACACTGATCCCGGCAAGCTTAACACCACCTGCAGGGACAAGTCTCTGGGACAGTGTTTTTGTAATCCAGTATCAGATCTGAGTTGAACCACCATAGATTTTTTCCACTCACTATCTTTTACGGCAAACATCGCAAGTTAGTGAACCCCATGTGGTGGTGACATGCGCAACACACTCCAGCCAGCGTAATCTATGAAAATGGAGGCCTTGTTCCACTGAGTAACCACAACTCCTAAACAAGTTGGTGTATAATCTCGGCATTCATTGTCCGGATGCCCGATCGGGCTCGTGCAATGTGGTGTAGACAGTATTGTTCAAACGCCGAGATTCAGTGTTAATTAACGTGTTATAATTCCAGAACTGTAGTGCCCAGTCGAGGAGAGGTATTCATTAGGAACAGCGATAAGAGTATCAATAAATTGGATTATCCAGAACAAATCGTATCATCCGGAACAGGCTCATCAGAATTTCCACAAACAAGCGGGCTATTCGATGGAACGGTCCGTCATCAGATAAGCATTGTCTATAGATACAGTTTTAAACACAATCTTTCAGTTTTGACAATTGTGAGAATACGTTAATCGCATTCTTTTGCGTACTCCAGCCATACTACTCAAATGTGAGAAGCACCTCACAACCCATCTACTGACACTGATATCTGTGCCCAATCTTATACAAGGACTTGCACAAGGAAAGATGAATGTTGTGCATGTGTGTCAGGGGAACTCCACCTTAACCTTGAACCACAAGCTATTTATATGACTTATGTGAGCCAGTTAAGGCTGGCGTGTGCAGCTATCAGCTATTGTGCTTGCAAAAGTCGTACAGTACAAAGCAATACCAATCATTCCATTTCGCGTAGGCATCGTTACTGCTCTGAATATAAATGGCATGCATTCAATAGGTCAACAATATCCACATTGATATCGAGATATTAGGAAATCGATACCGTGTTCCCGATCGAAAAACTCCGGTCACGTGGATGTAGAAGAGATAAAAAGCCGAAAATGGTTGCGTTTTGTCTACCATTAAAAGCAACGTGTGTTTTACGAGTCCACGTTATTTTAGTCGCCCGGGCAACGTGATATATTATACTAAAAACCGTAAGCGGGGTACTGGTGAATGACAGTCCGACAGACTGACGGGGGAGACCTGATCGCGTTCCGTTGAACGAGATCAAGACAAAATGTTTCCCTCGAGGCGCGCGTGTGTGCGCCGTAGCAATCGTTTCAAACAACTCTCGATTGTGTTGTGATGAGGAGTGTGAAAATAAAAATCAAGCATGGTGAAATCAATAAAGAAATGAACCTGAAGGCACTTACGGGGTAAGGACACGTGACCGTAAACGATGACGCGGTCCAGATGGACGGGCATTCAGATCGATCAGACCGGGATAGCGTTTTCGTGCCAATCGTTTAGCCTCTTTGGATTTGGCTTCAAATTTCATACCAGACATGAAAAAAGGGATGTAGTCAAAGTTAGATAGTTAGTCAGAAACAGGAACCTGAGTGCGCTGTGGAGCAAAAAACTCATATGGTCGAGCATTTCACATTACATGCCTCCTCGTCAAGTGAGCGAGTTAGTTTTTATCAGTAAGCACATTCCCTCGAGCAATGCGAGCTGAATCAACCCGTGATTGCCTTTGTCTCAATCACGCTTTATCTTAGAGATTGCATAACGACTCTGGTTTGTATGGTACAGCAGTCGCAGATTCCGGTAAGTTATTCGACTAGCTTGGAGGGTGGTGGTTCTTTACTAACTTTATTGAGGCTGGCTCTTTTGAAAGGATAAGTCGGCTCCAGACATGATCATGAAGTTCCTTGGGAGTTGGGTACGAGAGATGTCTCCAGTGTCACTTGGTGTTTTTTATTTTGAGGATACACCTCTAGCCTTTGCACAACCAAGTACGAACTGCAAGGCAACAGGAAGGAATCCTTCGTCTCGGAAGTCAGAGAAGGTCATTGACTTTAGTTTTAAAAGGCCAGTCACATCGGCCTTTGTCACGATACCGTCACAGGGCTTTTATAAAGGAGCCAGATGATCAGTCTGAAACCCACCACATCCTGGTAGTGCCGCCGCTGTTTGTCCGCGACTGCTTATTTGTTGCGATATGCCACAACTTATTCACAGTTAACCTTCTTTGGTAAAGTTATCTCCCTATCCACAACCCAGGGAAGCGCCTGGTAGCGTTCAGTTCTGCTTAACCCGAGGGTATCCAGGTGGTGGTTCGGCAGTCGGTGGAAATGTACGGGTCGTTTTTTTTCAGTACCATTTGCGATGCGAATAATGACTGTGTGAGCACATCTACGATCGCAACTTTAAGCGCATTGTAATCAGACACAATACAACAGTGTCTGGGTCCGAGGTAAGTGAGGTAAAATAGAACAGCAGCCGAAATCGAAGTAGATGTGATTGCTCACAGGGAACGGTCAAGGTCAATCAACACATCCTGATTATGGTAGAATATTTCCTCACACGATGCGAAACGATACCTGTGCGTCACAACAACGCAATTCACAATGCGCATACCATTTTGAACGGTTGGATTTCTTTCAGATAGAGGTCTGTGTGTGTGTGTGTGTGTGCATGCATGTGTGTGGGAAGAGGTAACGAAATAACTGACAGGGGATCTGAATTTAATGCAGGAATCTTTAACCTGACGGAGTATAATGCAATCGCCCACCTCGACAAAGTTTCCTCAAGGAAATAGAGTGATGAGGAGAGAACGAAAGACCACTTCTTAGATAACGGTAACAGCCGATTACTGTGCGTTTCTTTCAACTGAAGCCCGACAGTACCGTAGGTGTAACTCGTAGTGAACGGAACTGGATGCAGCTCGAGAATGCCTGCCAACTCAGGGTGAGAACAGTGCTAACGCGAGAAGTGCAGCCAGTGACACAGAAAATGCTGGTTAGATATTTCTGTTCATCGAGCCACATGTAAGCTTCGCATTTTTTTCACATTTCTGACGTCCAAACGAATGAAGAATAGACACACATGATCCGAAAATAACTCACAAACTATACCAAAGAAGCACGATTTCGTTGGCTGGTCGAAAGTTATGTTGACCTCCTCCTTGTCTGCTCATATACTGCGCGCTAAAGTATCCATCAGATTTCGACAATTCAAGACTTCCGAAGCACAGGCTTGACGCCACAAAGTTCAAAATCATTAGGAATATTGTATCGACAAACAGATCAAAGCACAGCGCGGCGAAATCGCGAGGAGGCTCAGAGCATGCATGACACATGAGGTTTCTGCAATCAATGGGTTGCTTCTGAGCACTTCGGGATGATTTATCAGCATAATGATACTTTTGAGTCTCAGTTCAGTTACTACAACTGTTAACCATGTACTGTCGCGCACCGATTGCTATCGTTGACGTTGTCCGCTCAGATGAAAGGATTAGAGGGAAGAAGAAGACAGCCGGGAGTAGGATCAGGGTAAAGTATAGAGAACACAGTAAAGCTGAACCTGGGAAGAAGTGGAGTAAATGCATTAATGAACAAACAATATTTGAATGCCTTCACATTTAGTGCCGCCGGACGAGAAAAATCGATCGGTTTTGAACAACGGCATGAGGTGGCAACTTGATGCAAGCGAAGGAAAAGAATGGGTTGATATTCGGGTTGCTCTGCATTAGGATAAAACGTATCGATATATTCACGAGAATATGAAAATCCACGTTACCTGAAGAGCAGAACCTCTCGGAATTTTGTGAAAACATGTGGGCAGCTGAGTACTTTGAGCGAAAGAATAAAATATTGATCTACATCAAACATTATATATATATATATATATATATATATATATATATGGGGATTGTTAAAATAAGAACAGTCAGTAGTGACAGAATACTCGAAAACAAGCAAGTTTTGGAAAAAAATACTGGTTATCATCCATAGAGAGTTACGAAAAACGTTCAGTTCTCATACTGAATGGCTCGGTTAGGTGGGAACCTGGCTGATAGAGAACAACAGACAACAGCAAACTGTACGGGGTTGGATTGGTTTACCTTCCAATTTGGCTTGGTGGG